ATTTTCCCCTCTCCTCCTCCCATCCTGGCTGCATTTTCTGAAGGAGCTGTATGTGAAATGCATTTGAGGCCTCTGGAGGACAGGTATGGAAGCCCCTTTCCGCCAATGTGACGGAATAAAAAGGATTCTGTAAATCATTATAATGACAAACGTTACTCAAAATATTGACATGGTATGTCACAATATTTACTTAGTATCTCAAAATAATCAGAAACTTTGTCAATATTTTTACTTAGTATGGCAAAGTCATTATTTTGATGAAGTTTCTCATTATAATTACATACAGAATCTTTTGTTTTTTGTGTAAAAATACTAATACCACCTTGTGAAAATACTAATTTACTTAATGGTGCAATGTGTAACTGTTTAAACTAAAATTATTGATGTTATGTCAAAGATGTTGCATGCTAACCAGCTAACCCCGGCCCGTCCTATCTCTTCATACCTCAAGAGGCAATAGTCCGATAGTATAGCTTTTCTGGGAGATGTGTGAGTGGGTGTGTGAGTGGTGAGTTTGCTCAGTTACACAAGCTGAAATAAATAAACAAAATAAACTCACAAAATGTCAATAAAGGAAATATTCTTACACCTATTTCCTTTATAAAATAGGAAAATACAACTGTACACCTCTCTTTATCCAAAATAATGACTAGCTTAATCGACTTGTTAACATACAAACTCAACAGAAACTAAATTAAACTCACCAAAACTGTCATGGTTAGTCTTTCCACTGTTACACCAACTCTTCTTGGCTTCCTATAAATCCTTAAAGGACCAGTATGTAGGATTTAGTGGCAATTAACAGTGTAGTTGTAGATTGTACCTCCCTTGCTTCACCCTCCCCTTTTAAGCGTGAAGGAGAAGCTACGGTGACTGCAAAATGGTGCGTCTAAGATAACAAAAACATAATGATTCTTATATTCAGGTGATTATTCAGTATTGAAAACATACCTATGAATGTCTATTCCCTTTCTGACAATAGCTCCTCCTAAATGTTACACACTGCACCTTTAATTCATAAAGTTAGTTCAGGTTTCACAGACACCTCTCCTGTCCCCACCTGAATCTGCTGTGTCTTTTGTTGCCCCTGTACTGTATTATTAAACTGCTCTCCATTGGTCCCAGTACAGCCCAGTATTTTTCACTGGGAGACTGTCAGTAAGGTAATAGGTCCGTTAAGTTAGCTGTATGACTAACTGAACTAACTAGCAGCATTTTAGGATGTGCGATATGCTGGCCTTTGTTGTTATGGAGAATTAATTTGACAGGTGGAGAGTTGCCTCAATTTTTATACTGCACCTTAAAAGTATGAAAAATAAAATAATTCATAGTAGAAAATATTCAAGTAATGTACAAGTACCTCAAATTTGTATTTAAAGACAGTACTTGTAAGTGCACTTACATTCACCACTGCTAATGGTGGCCTTCACGTCCAGCTCTTCCAGGCCTAATATAAAGGAGATGGCAGTGTGGTGGTGTCAGCTGAGTAAAAATAAATTACACATTAATTTTTCTCTTAAATTGACTCGCAAGCCAAGTACATCAGCACATTAAATGGACACGTATTATTTTTCATGTTTGATTCATTTCAAGAGAACCTTGAAAATCAATTCTTAATGCAATTTTGTGTGTGCCGAGCACTATGTACTGTATGTTGACGAATATGCTATATTTGAACTGATAAAGTTATACTGAAAAATTACATATGCTTCAGTATGCACATTTGCAACATATATTCAAAATATGATAAAAATAACAGCGAATAAATTGTTACATTAATTTTCAGCTCACTAGAAACTCAGTCATCATCAGGATTTAGTGGCATCTAGCGTTGTATTGGCAGATTGCAACTCTATTGCTTCAAACCTTCTTTCCAATTGGAGGGAGAAATTACCATGATCACAAAATGCCCTGTCTACAGCCAGTGTTTGCTTTGTCTGTTTTGGGCTACAGTAGAAAAATGGCAGATCAACATGGCGGCCTCAATGGAAGGCGACCCACAACGTCTGTAGATAAAAACTAATGAAAACATACGCAAGGCCTACTTTGTTGAGTTTTGTAGGGGGCGCCATCAAGCCATTGTTCCACACACGGCCAAAAGGCCGTCACATATCAGATATCACACCAACTGTGTGCCATGTTTTGTGAGTTTTCGAGGATACCACGCTGTCCACGCTGACATGTTGTTTGACTTTTGTGAGTTTCAGTTTGTCACAAACCCCTCCAAAATCCAATGGAAAAATCCCATTCCTTCTGTTGAAGGCCTAGAGTGATGCTAACTTCCAAGCTGGACAACAAAAATACTTAATCTCTGCAGCACTCTATCACAGTTTAGCTTGCATTACCTAATAACTATCCATACATGTAAATTAACTTTAAAGATGCGGTAGGTAACTTATTAAAAAAGGGTAAAAAAGGTTTTGTCATATTTGCTGAAACTTTCAATGTATCCTGACAGTAGAACATCAGACAGATAATCTGTGAAAAAAAAATCAGGTTCCTCTGGCTCCTCCTAGTGCTCCTAGTGGCATTTACAAGTATCCACGGGGCCTGAATGTAAACAACCAATCAAATCCCAGGTCTTCGTTGGGACTGAGACTCAATAAACAACTGCCTTCAGGCCACCAACCCAACTAACTAACTAACTTTAACTTTCTTGGCTCCATGTGGTTGCTTTCGTTCAAGCACTATCTGTCTCATGTGCTACTGTCAGGATATAGTAAAAGTTTCAGAAATATGACAAAAAGTTATTTTTATAAAACATACCTACTGGTCGAGGCAGACAGCCACCCACCTAGAGCTGGGTTCTGTCCGAGGTTTCTGCCTCTTAAAAGGAAGTTTTTCCTTGCTGCCATCGCCAAGTGCTTGCTCATGGTGGGAACTGTTGGGTCTCTGTAAATAATTTTATAAGGAGCACAGTCTAGACCTGCTCTGTCTGAAAGGTGTCCTGAGATATTTTTTGTTATGAATTGGCGCTATACAAATAAAAAATGAATTGAATTGAATTGAAACATTTAATTGCAGCTTTAATAGGCTGGAAAAGATTTTCCCTGTCGCTAACCCTTTAAACACACATTTTCTGAACAAATTAGCATATTGATTATGCGTTATAGATACAAGAGTACAACAAATAATGAGAATCAACCCATTCAATCTTAATGAATACATGCTTAACAGCAGTGATCTGCATTCATTATCAGATGCTCAACAAACACCTCAGAGTAGGACCCTGCATTCTGAGCTGTGAGCTGCAAATATGCCATATAAAATGATCTGAAATAAGTGCCAGCATGTAAACGGTAGTAACCACAGCAGATTGCGGAGGTAATGCAAATGAAAGAGAGAAAAAGGGTTTCAAAGGACTCTCCCTCTCAGTTCCTTTTTCCTGCACTGTGCCATTGGCCACATGATTCTGAAAACAGGGTGAACATTTTTGAAGGGGTGCAAATTTCAGCTCTGCTCCGGGGATTAATTTAGTCTTTGGCTCCTTTAGGTTTGTCAGACAATCATTAGGGTGGTGGAGGCAGCCCTCTGGATGGAACTGATGTTTCAGAAAGAATGAAAAATCTAATATTTTTGAAGGTAATGAGAACTTGGGTAAATGTGCCTTAAGACATCAAGTATTGATACTGTAAGAAGAAATAATCTCTTTCATTTAAAACAGATCTCTTACATCCAAGCCACCTGGAAACTTAAAACTTTTTCCCACAATAGGAACAGTGTAGCAGCCAAAAGAAACACAAAAACAATATACAACATATTAAAGCTGCAGTAGGTCATTTTTATAAAAATTACTTTTTTGTCATTTTTTGCTGAAACTTTCACTATATCCTGACAGTTGTACATGAGACAGATAATCTGTGAAAGCTCCTCCTAGTGCTCCTTAAGGCATTTACAAGAATCCACTGGGCCTGAATGAAAACAACCAATCAGAGTTGAGTGCGTCTTACACGGGCAGTGGGACTCTCTAATCTGTTGACCTGGGTGGCGAAATAAAAAAATAATTAGGTCAAGCACGCAGACGCTGTGAACAAGCCGTAAGGTCGCGGATTCCATCCAGCAATTACACGTTAATGGCGTGCTGGAAGGATGAGTGGAGGATGCTGTTAGACGCAGTAGGAGGGTGGAGGTGGTACTCTGCTGGGGGGAGTGAGAGATGATATAGAGAACTCTGGGATAGCGCAGCAATCAGACTGAGGACTGATTGTTGGTGTAACAAGAAACTGACTGAAGCTTTCTGCAGCTAGCTGTCTCATTGATTTGTTTGTCCATGTAGCAGCATCCACAGCACCTTGTTTATTGCTCAGCTCCTTAAGCTGTCATATTTTGAAGTAACAGTTGGGGATGCTGCTCCTCCTTGAGGGCTCAGCCAGAAATCTTTAGAATTTCACCCAATAATTGCACCATTTTCAAGTTGTTTCAGAGTGAAATGAATAGAAGATGTGAGACACTGTGCTCTGTCAGAAGGTTGTGGTCGGGTGTGTAGTTTGCCTTTTACAAAAAATTAATGCAATCCATTCTCGTTCAACTTTTTATTTTCAACCACAGGAGTAAAAGCCTTAGAAAAAATAAGAGTCTTGATGTTGACAGTCATATGATAGATTGTATCTGTCCAACGCTTTGTTCAATTTTCAAAACTGACCAACCCTGGTCTCATCGCCTTCTATTGAGTGACAAAGGCTTCTGTTAAGTTTTGATAAACTGAGCTCCAGTAGATAACTTTTATACAAATAACTTGTTGTCATATTTGCTGAAACATTCACTATAACCTGACAGTTAAACATGAGACAGATAATCTGTGAAGAATATAATCTTAAATAAAAATCTGGTTCCTCTGTTTCCTCCTAGTGCTCCTAATGGCATTTGAAAGAATCCACCAGGCATGGACGAAAACAACTTACACCCTTTTGTCTGGTGGCTTTAGGACAGCTGATTATTGATTCTCATTTCATCTGTATTGAAGGAACCTAATATTTGAAACTTTTCTCTCATTCCCACAGTCTGATCCCGCTAAGTGCAGCAACCAACGGAGGTTTTGTGAGGTGAGGCGACAACAATTTGTACAGAATACAGCGGATATGGATTATATTAGTGCCGAACTGACAAGAACACTGTGGACATATGATGGGCTGTAGCTGTTGTTTTAAAAGTTGTGTTTATACGGACACTTACGGAATTGTTAAAATGTCATATTTCTTAAAGGGAGTTTGATGTAAGCATAGGAAGCACAGGAAGCTTTTCAAACTGCTGTGTATATTTTTTTGTCACCAAGACATAAACACTTCAGTATGATAATGAAGGAAAATGCTACCCAGTGCAACACTGTGGCTCACGGATGTGTTTTTAATACATTTTGGACAACAATGGAGCTCTATGTTACAGAGGAAGAAGATACATTATAAGACTTTGGATACACACAATACACACTGCTACTTAGAATACCTATTTTCTTGGGTTGGTCCAGGTTTGGCAACCTAAACCTGGACCAAAGTGTTGAACACGGATGGACTCTAGCTAACAGTTTTCATCATGAGTGTTTTCTACTAAATGAACACAAATTCATAGACTTCAAGGCTTTTATCTTTTCAGCTGAAGGCTGTCTTTTGTATGTGTGGTTCAGTTTCTGAGCAATATTTACAGAAAACATATCATTGTCATAGCAATATGGCAATAATCACAGCAGCCTTGGTTGTATACTGTAATAATGTAAAGCATACAGTAGGATATACATATTTTCCCCTGATGCTTCCTTTTTCCCTCTAACACACCTGCATACGTAAACTTCTAAAACATATTCCTTCCACCAAGCAGCGCTAATGCAACTTCAAAAAGATGATTGCCTGTCATTAAAGCTAGCAGAAGGGAAAGGTAGGCTGGAGTGGAGCTTGCAGCCCGTCGAGGAGAGGAATACTAATTAAGACTTTGGACTCTCTCTTCTTCCTCATCCATCATTGATGTTTCTGGAGGGGTACAGTTTATTTAGATTAGCAGCTGTTAGAGCTGGACTGTTCATACATACAGACTCTCTAAACTCAGTGTAGTTGTCTCCTTGTCTATTGAAGCCCTCTGTTTCTATACCAACAAGATATTTGAATGCATGGATCAAGTGGGATTGATACATGTAACATGTAATTTTGACCCACACCAGCTCCAACAATACCAATGTAGCAACATCAAGCTAATCTTTTAGCAATTTTGTCACCAATTGGCTATCATTTCTTGCCTCAATCACTACATCACACAGTCAGATATACTACCATTGCTACACAGAACAAGCTGTGCAACAAGACTGCAGCACCCTTGCAATATCATGACTGAAGAATCAGGACCAGAAAAACTAATAGCACCCCAACTGAGATTGAGGATGAGATTTACTCTTGTCTGGCAGCTTCTCTTTAATTTTCTCTCTTTAATTATTTAGGTGACTTTAACAAAGGAACTGTTCAGAGCAGATCGTGACACAGAACTGGGGGTGGAGGTATCTGTTTTTACACCAACAGTAGCTGGTGTAATGAAGGGACAGTGATCCAACAGCACTGCTCTGTAAACCTTTTTACTCCCCCCGTGAGTTTCATTCATTCAGATAGGTACTGTGTGTGGAGTGGACTAACCCGGACTCTTTAGTTATTGTCCTTGGTGACTTTAACAAAGGAAACCTCAGTCATGAACTTCCAAAATACCGACAGTTTATTAAATGCCCGATCAGAGAGGAGAAAACACTGGATCACCGTTACACTACAGTCAGCAGAGCTTATCATGCTCTCCCCCGTGCCACAATGGGCCTCTCTGACCACATCATGGTCCACCTGATTCCTACATACAGGCAGAAATTAAAGCTCTGTAAACCTGTTGTGAGGACATCAAAGCAGTGGAGCTGCGGAGGATCTCCAGGCGTGTTTGGACTCTGTTATCAGGACTGCTACCAATCACTGTAGCACTTTCTCAGAGACTACAGTTACTACAGTAACCTGCATTAATCAAATCAACAACATAATACAAAAACCACAATAACCTAAATAAAACGCATCAGTAACATTAACAGTAATTAAACAGTCCTTGCTTAGCCGTTAACTCTGTTAAGTTATCTGTCTATGCCCAGTACATTACGGGCAGTCCAAAGGCGGGAGGAAGAATTGCCGGTGAGCTGCATGGATCAGCTGGCGGTCCTGTGAGAGTTGTGGTTCTGAAGTAGAAACAGACTCTGCTGTGCAGTGTCTGCTGGTGCAGGTTGCAAGAGGAAAGGCGTTTCGCTCGTTGCTCTGTAGAGTTAACGATTCTGCGTTAACGCTGCGTTCCTCCGGTAAAGTCAGCTGGCAAACTTTCTCTTTAAAGATGCAGATGTTGACTCCCGTTAGCGGTGCGCTGACCAGGGACAGGCTCTTATGCCGTGCTATAATCCTTTGTCGTGCGTCTTCTCCAGTGTTTGAGGCTGCCTGTGTAAATGGGGGGAAAGTTGTATTGTTCTGACCTAACATGACTACAATGACTTAATGACAAGATAGATGTTGTTGTTGTAAAAAGATCAGAGTTTCAAAAACCTTGGCAGAAAAGAAGCAATTTGCAAGGAAATGTTATAAGATGACTGCTAACTTAACTCTCACAGCAGCAATTATCTAAGACATTAGTTGTCAGTCTTTTCAGAAGGAGACCATCAGAAGACCTAGATGAACACACAAAGACTAGACAGGACTACCAAAATACTAGGAATACCTATGGAAAACAAAGCCAGACTATCGTATAATCAGAATCAGAATCAGAATCGGAAATACTTTCCCAGCGGGAAATTACTTTCGTTACAACTCCAAATCTACATACAACATATATACATATATATAAATATATATATATAAATTAGTGCTGTCAGTTAAACGCGTTATTAACAGCGTTAACGTAAACCCATTCTTAGCGGCGTCAATTTTTTTATTATATATAATTTATATAATTTCCCCCTGGGATTATTAAAGTATTTCTGATATAACAGTGTAGACTATCAAAGACTGGGCTAGACCCTCAAAAGGCCTTCTTAAACCCCACTAGACCAAAAGCCCAAAATGGACCATCAAACAGGATGAGCATAGACCAACAAAGACCAGTCTACACCATGAAAAGACCAGTATAGACCCAAACCAAGGTATTGGACATAACTAAAATAATAATATTTTGACATGAGCACACACATTTTTGGAGAGCCATGTCTCTACCAAATGTAATGGCAATCCATCAAATAGTTGAGATGCTTCAGTCTAGACCAAAGTTGAAGCATGACTAAGAACAACTTGTCCAAAAGTTATCGACTATATACGTATGGATTTAAATTTGTGTCTTTATTACATGCGAGAAAATAAATGATCTGAGAGAAAAAAAAAATGTTTGAGAGAAAAAGTTTTATGAGAGAATTTTTTTTGAGAGAAACAGTTTTATGAGAGAATTTTGTTTTGAGAGAAACAGTTTTCATACCAATAGCAAAAAATAATAATATTTGAGACTAAAAAAAGTTTTGAGAGAAAGTATTTTCTCATAGAACAAAAAAAATTTTAATTTGAAATTTTTTAAATTATTTCTGAGAAAAAAAAATCTCTCTCAAAATACTTTTTTTAACCCTCAAATATATATATTTTTGCTATCAGTGTGAAAACATTTTATCTAAAAAAAAATGTATTTCTCTCAAAACGTTTTTCTTCTCTCTCTCAAAGCCTAAGTCTTTGCTCTCGATGCAATTTCTTGCTCTTGTGTCAGGATTTTGCTCTCGCTGTGAAAACTATGTCTTGGGCGAGGCCACGTTCCTATTGGCCAGTTGGGTGAGAATCGTCAAGGGAGTCGAACTGAATCATTACACCATTGTCGATTCACCGGCATAGATAGGTGCCTTAGTTGAGCGCGCAGACTCCAATGTTTGGGTAAGATGATGACACACACAACTCGATGGGTAGCTAGCTGAGCAAGTTGGTAATCAAAATCATTCCCATCATAGGAATGACTGTCCAGCCCTAACAGGTTAGAGAGTAACAGATCAGAGGTATTAAAGGATGTTTAACTGGTTAGTGATGTGGAGTTCAGCTCAGCTAACATCACTGAAGATTCAACATTAAATAGGCTATCCTAAATGGAAGCTAGTTTGCCGTTATTGATGTGTTTGTCAGATTGTCATGGACAAAGAATAGCACTCATATTCATGAATGTGTATTATATTATTAGTATGCTTTATTTATTATTAGATAGTTTCACTCCTTATTTAGTGAGTAGTGAGCTAGTTTCTACCCTAATTAGCAAATTTCTCGCATGTAATAAAGACACAAATCTAACTCCACCCAGCATACAGCTGTTTTCAGCCTAAATGCAGGGGTGAGGAAACTGTGTGAAGCATTATCAAAGAGCAAAGTGGACAGTGCACAGTGGAAAAACTCAGTTTACGCAACTTCCCAGTAAATTGATGAGCAACTGTGGGCTTTGTAGGTCAAGCTCACTCCTCAAACCTGGGATACAAACACAACAAATACAACACCTGATTGACAAATCCATCCATATGTGGACTTTATCACTCTTCATACTACGTCATCTGACCTTGACTTTGGACGGAGTCTTTGGAGTGAGATCGGGTTGGTTAATGGCTGATCCAAAGAGCTACACTGGAGGGGCACAGTCAGGACTTCTAGGTGTACAAAACAGGCAGCGGTTGTGTAAAGTGGGTGTGATTGTTGCAAGAATTATTGGACGCAGGCATCTTTGACTACTACATCTGAAAGGGAGTTTGAGATGCTGTTAGACAATCCAACAAGGACTTTTCGGAGAAATACTGAAGACTTAAAGGTTGTGTGGGGTTAGAAATAACGTAAAGGGGACAGAAACAACATTGCATTCAAGCTCCCAGGTCGCCAGTAGTTTAAGGTTGCCAAAGCATCTGTATTTGACAGCTTGGTAATGAGACTAATCACTCAGCTATCTTTCTCCAGAATGACTGACCCCACATTGTGGAGTTCGTGGAGGTGGACAGGTCGAAAGCATTTCCTTTCAACACCAGTGTCCTGGGATCATGTTGCAATCTCAGACTAGCAGCCAGTGCTGACTTCTATATAATTTGCGCATGATGACAACTTTTCTTTAACTTTACATGAATGGTTGTGGTTAACTAAGACTGACCAATACCTATACCATTTTTGTGTGATGCAGGGTTATCATAAAAACAGACCTAAAAGGTTTAATCTGTGACATTATATTACTCAGAAAAGCCTAATAGTTGCATGTAAAGACAATTAGTAAGTGGAGTAGTAAGGTGAGCTATTACTGTCTAGTTTACCAGTAATGTGTGGCAGTCATGGTCATTCTGTTGAGTAGATCAGACCAGTGCAGAGAATACCGGAGGCATTCCGTGAAATGCTTCAGGGTGAGTGGGGAATTAACATGTCAGCAAGAACAGATAAGACCCTCTCTGATTCTAATTGGATACCACGTGTTGGCTGTAATTTGGATGTTTCCTTTCACAAAGGTCTGGAAGTTAACTGGAGGTCAATCTTTGTCAGGACTGTCTTTGTTTGTCAGCTATCATTCTTGTCGTGTATTAACAGATGCTTGTGAGCACCACAAGATGATGAGACAGCATGATGGGATCATTCTCTTGTTTGCAAGTCATGTGCTATGATGAAGCAGACTGCTTTCACGTACAGCGACAAGCTGTGTATGCTGTTAGCAGACAAAAACAAGAATCTTTCACTCTATCAATCAGACATTGCAACTCTGAAGACAACCAGAGTGGTCCAGTCCCTTCTAGGGGAATTCATTGAGTCCCTAATTGAAATAGATCATTATGGATCATTGTGAACTGCCCTTAGTACTCCCACTACTGTGGAAGACTGCTAACTGCAGTTCCTATCTAAAATTGCATTGTAGTGTGAGAAAAAAATCAATAAAGAAGGTGAAAGTGAAGGCTAAACGGTCACTTTGCTGAGTTAAGGTTTGAATTGTGACACTTTAGTTGACAATTATTGGCTCTCCGCAACTTCAAATTATTATTGAATACTTCTCACAGAAGTCTGCAACCACACAGACGAGGAGTGGTGAAAGGAAAGCCCATTCTGATGGGGACAGCAAACACTGAAATCTGATGTGATCGAAGGGACTCATAAGTCAGATCTTTGCATTTCTTTAAAGGTTGTATTGCCCAAAACCATAAAAAAACAATAGTTGTGTGACCAGTAGAAAATGACCATTATAAAACTGTCTTCATCCCTCATTATATCCTCATTTTATCCTTTTATGTCATGTGCAATGCAATGAGAGATTTTAAGGCATGTTTTTGTAACTTGTGTTGGGTTGTACTGAATTTGGGTACTGATACCTTTTTTGGTCTAATTCAAGCACTGATAAGTAGACAGTAGTTATTACCTAGTAAGTACTTGAAAACCTACCAGAAAACTACATGGTAATACAATCTAGGTATTTGTATAGTATCCATAATAAATCATGAAAAAGTTATCTTCCTCCGTGTCTTGTAAACCAGATGGTAAACATATCCTTGTTAAGAAAGTACCTAAATAAATGGTTAATAAGTACTTTGTTATTTCCTAGTAGGATACCTACTTACTAGGAAATGCCACTGTATGTACATGGAAATACCATCATCTTTGTTGCTTTTTCAGTCCATTGGTGAGTTTCAGTTACCTAACCATATACTGCCAATTCCACAGTATCTTGTTGTTGCCTGATGATTGGTACTTATGCTTATTTTTATGTTTTCAGGAATCATATCCACAGTTCCGTGCTCTTCAATGGTTTGATTTAATTTACCATGAAAGAACCATGTTTTTTCCCTGTGCTAAGTCATTTTTTTTCTTTTTGTATACTGTTACCATCTCGTTTCCTAGTAAATATGAGGTAATTAGCGGACTGTAAAATAAAAAGTTACTGAGATGTCTTTAGGCTTATTCATTTCTGGTGCAGTGGTGTATCAGGAAAACTATTGCATTGTCATGTCCTTTTAGGTATTACTTACTAGTACATTGATGTTGTGCTTGGTGTCTGTCAGAGGCAAACTAAGTGACAGTTCTTTGTTTTCTCACAGGCTTTCATAATTCAGGTCAGAGAAAATGGGAGCATAATGTATCCTGAAGGGAAGCTTCAGCAGGAACCTGATTTCTCTGCACGGCTGCAGAACTCTATCAACAAGACGAAGAGCGCAGCAGCCAAACAACACCACCTTTAAGTGGACACTCGACGTGATTTGACCTGCCAGAATTCCCAGTTGCAATCAACAGATGGGGTGTTGTGTATGTGCTATGTGTTCAGGTGGTCCCACCCAGGGTTTTGATCAGAACTCTGCACTTACCTTTGTCTGCAACAGATGGACCTTTACTTGTGAAGGAAAATGGAAATAATTCCTTACCAACAATCCTTTGAATCAGGGTGTAGAGTTGGTGCTTAGATTGCCACCCACCTTGCTTTTCTATAGCTAAGAGGAAAAGAATGTTCAAGGTTATGTGGACTTTACAATAAGAAATCCCTCACAAACAAAGATACAAGAGACCCAGGATATCCAAGGACATATGAACAGTGAGGAGAGGAACAGTGGAGTTTTGCTCTTTCTTGGATGACAGTAACTAAGAACATAAATGCGATGATCCTCTCTACTGTGGACTGTCATAGAAACCAAAGGACAGTAGAGAGACGCAGTCCTGACACTAATTCCAAGCTATCTGTTGCTCCTCATTTTTATTGAGGGTTTACTTCATCAAGCATTCCAGAGATTTACTGTCTATGCTCTATGATAAAAGCTACAGAACTCAGTATTAGAACTTGAACCCTTAATGATATAGTATAATTTAAAAAACTACAGCTCTGATGAAGTCTTTCCAGGATGTCAGCACGTCTATACGCCATTTTTATGTAATTCAGTATTAAGTATTGAGTAAACAAAAACGTTAGTAAAACTGACTGATCAAGGTAATGTTTTAAGCCTGGCCTTTTAGTAATCTGTGGTACTCTTGGAAAGCCAAGAAGCCCAAGACGTTTTGTTTTATTTCATCTCTCTATAGCTCCATTGGCTAGCATCATTCAAACTTAAAGTTAGCATCACAGACCCATCAAAAGTGAACATGGATTTCAATGGGAGCCAGGACTATGGGTCTTATCCAACGGGGCTGCCCTTTAACACAAGCATGGACTATGACGACTATTACCAGGAGCCTGACGCCAGTAAAATCATCATCCCATCCATCTATGCTCTTGTCTGCTGTGTAGGTCTTACTGGCAATGCCATGGTTATCTATGTCATTCTGAAATATGCCAAAATGAAAACAGCCACCAATATTTACATCCTCAACTTAGCGATCGCTGACGAGTTGTTCATGTTAAGTGTTCCTTTTCTGGCCACATCGGCTGCCGTTCGCCACTGGCCCTTCGGGTCGCTGATGTGTAGGTTGGTGCTGAGCGTAGATGGTATCAATATGTTTACATCAATCTTCTGCCTGACTGTGCTAAGTGTGGACCGCTACGTAGCAGTGGTCCACCCTATCAAGGCTGCCCGCTACCGTAGACCCACTGTAGCAAAAGTAGTGAATGTATGCGTATGGGGGCTGTCACTCATTGTCATCCTGCCCATCATTATCTTCGCAGACACTGTCCCAGCGCAGGACGGTGGCGTGGACTGTAACTTCTTGTGGCCTGAAGCAGCATGGTCAGAAGCATTTGTGGTCTATACCTTCCTGTTGGGATTTCTGCTGCCGGTCGGGGCTATCTGCTTGTGCTACTGTCTAATGGTAGCCAGGATGCGAGCGGTGGGGCTGAAAGCAGGATGGCTTCAGCGACGGCGCTCAGAGAAGAAGATCACCCGCATGGTGCTGCTAGTTGTGGCAGTGTTCATTCTCTGCTGGATGCCCTTCTACATCGTCCAGCTGGTCAGCGTTTTCCATCGGCCTCCGGACCCCATGGTCACTCAGCTTTTTGTCATCCTCAGCTATGCCAACAGCAGTGCCAATCCTATCCTGTACGGTTTTGTGTCTGACAATTTCCGGCGTTCATTCCAGCGCATTGTGTGTTTCCGGTGGCTGGAGTCTGGGCTAGATGCGGAGCAGGTGGATTACTGTGCTGTAGCTCTCAAGAGACAAGCAACATGTAGCCCTCTGGATTTTCCCAAGGACTGCATGGCTTCTGATATGGTGTTTCGCAATGGAACATACACCTCCCGTACAACCACAGTGTAACATTCAACCAGAACAGGACCTAAAATAAGGACCACAGCCTAAACAAGAGTTTTCAACCTTGGGGGTGCACAGGGAAGACTGATATGTAATTCTGATTGATATACATGTGACAAAACTACATAGGTTTTGAATATATCATCATTTTCAAAAATTTACTTGATATTGTGTAAACTCATTAATGTCACTGGACATGAGAATTTTGGGACATGTGGCACAAAGTTGAAAAACTCTAAAAAACAATTAATGTATAAGCAGTAAATGACTGACTGACATTTTGAGAAAAAAAGATGTATATAACTGAAAGGATTCCACTAAAAGATGTATATAACTGAAAGGATTCCACTAAAAGATGTATATAACTGAAAGGATTCCACTAATTCAATTCAATTTTATTTGTATAGCGCCAATTCATAACAGAAGTTATCTCAGGACACTTTTCATATGGAGCAGGTCTACACCGAACTCCTTATAACATTTACAGTGTTATAAGGACAGTGCCACCATGAGCAAACACTTGGCGACGGGGGCAAGAAAAAAAACTGCCTGTTAAGAGGCCGAAACTTAGGACAGACCCTTCAGCTCTAGGTGGGTGGTTGTCTGTCTCGACCAGTTGGGTTGAGAGAGAGAGAGAGAGAGAGAGAGAGAGAGAGAGACAGACAGACAGAGAGACAGACAGACAGACAGACAAACAGACAGACAGGTGCACAGCAACAACAGTAGCAACAACTACACTAATTGCACTAGTTTACACGTAGGTAGAAATGTATAGCACAGGTGAATGTAAGCACATTTTGATTCTGTGATGTGCCCAGCCCGAGTCATTAGAGACTGCAGAGGAACATAAGTGGGGACGGAGATGAGTACAAATATAAATTCCCATGATCATTTGTCATGTTTAATTCACAGATACACTCCAATAATGCATACAATGGCACCCCTAAAATCCCCAAATTCAGTTAAAAGATGTTTTTCAACAATGGAAATGAAAATTTATTTTTGTCTGTAATTAATTACACAAATAATTAGGCAAAACTTTATGGCATAGGTGGAATTACATGGATTTTGCTGGCTCACATGGTAAACAGTGCACTTAATAAGATACCACCAGCACGCTCTTCATACCAAGGACCGGTTCTCATAATTCAGAAACTGACAGGAACTAGAAAAAGAGATCACATCTCTCCTGTACTAGCTTCTCTGCACTGGCTCCCTGTAAAATGTAGAATAGAATTTAAAATCCTCCTCCTCACCTATAAAGCTCTTCATGGTCAGGCCCCTTCATATCTCAAAGAGCTCATAGTACCCTATTACCCCACTAGAACACTACGTTCTCTGAATGCTGGGCTACTTGTGGTTCCTATAGTCTCTAAAAAGTAGAACAGGAGCCAGAGCCTTCAGTTACCAAGCTCCTCTCCTGTGGAACCAGCTTCCAGTTGTGGTTCGGGAGGCAGACACCCTCTCCACATTCAAGAGTAGGCTTAAGACATTCCTCTTTGATAAAGCTTATAGTTAGGGCTGGATCAGGTGAGTCCTGAACCATCCCTTAGTTATGCTGCTCTAGGCCTAGACTATCGGGGGATTTCCCATGGTGCACTAAGCTCCTCTCTTCCTCTCTCTTTCTGCACTCATTCATGTTCCATTAATGCATGTTACTAACTTCACTTCTTCCCCGGAGTTCTTGTGCTTTCTCGTCTCGCAGGTTCTTGTCGATCCTAGTGGAGCCTCTTGCCATGGTCCTGCTTGATTGCCACTGCCAATACTGTTGTTGCTGTGCACCTGTCTGTCTCTCTCTCTGTCTCTCTCTCTCTCTCTCTCACCCCAACTGGTCGAGACAGACGACCACCCACCTAGAGCCGAGGGGTCTGTCCTAGGTTTCTGCCTTTTAACAGGCAGTTTTTCCTTGCCCTTGTCACCAAGGTCTTGCTCATGGTGGTACTGTTGGGTCTCTGTAAATAATGTTATAAGGAGTTCGGTCTAGACCTGCTCTATTTGAAAAGTGTCCTGAGATAACTTCGGTTATGAATTGGTGCTATACAAATAAAATTAAATTGAATTGAATTTAATAGAAAAACAGAGCAGATTGTTTTTTTTATTATGTAAAATTATCTCAGAATTGTGAGATAATAAGTTGTTAATGCTGTAAAACAGAGCAGAAGTAAATCAATTATGTATGAAATAAACAATGATAACCAAACATTAGCTGGGAGGAAATGTGGAAATTAGGGGTGCTATGGACATTATACAAAATCAGGAGGTATATCTTTAACTAAATATCTTATTTAACTGTAATGTCTTTATAATAACACTTTCCACATTGTTTAAAGTTCACCACCTGTTCTTCAAATGTCTCTTTCAAACTTTTAAATGTAATTGATCTACTCTATCTTATATGTAGTTGTTGCTGCGGATTTGTCCAACACAAAGATCCATTCAAAATTGTTGATGAAGTGATATTTCTGGGGAAAGACAAAAACAAGTGTCACCAAGCCAAGTGTTTTACATATCAGTAACACATAATAATGATGATTTGTGGGGCCCTAAAAAGGCTAGCTGGGCCCTGGATATTATCCAGATGATAGGAAGGTTAAATTATTGCTGTGTATCATTTTCTCCAGGCTTTCAAATTATGTTTAATTCTTTCTGTGTAAGTTTCTGTATTTGCTGTATCTGTGTTTGTTAATTATCTGTTGGTGGATCTGTTTAAATTTGAGATTTTGTCTTTGAGCAAATTGAGCCAAATCTGCTCCGCTTCAGTTGCACAATGTGACACAAGTGGCTGGGAATTTTTTTTTCATGTTTCTAAATAACAAAGACTCACAAAAGGATTTTTTTCACCTGTCGTTTCTGTTTTCTGAAATATTCCTCCAATGAAAAGTCAATCATTTCCGCTACAGATGACATAGGGCCTATATTTTTTTTCCGAATGACACTGCATTCTAGCTTACATAATGATAGTAATCTCCTCTATATTACAATTACTCAAAGTGATCATGGGGAGGAGGTCAGGGTGGATAGGTGGGTTTGTCAGCAAAACGTCTGAGGACCAGTGTGTTGGATTTAGTGGCATCTAATGGTGTAGTTGCAGTTCGCAACTGCCTCACTTCACCTTCCCTTTTCAAGCATGAAGGAGAAGCAGTGGGGGCTGCGAAACGCAAAAGAAATTTGAACTCTGTCAGAAGAGGAAAAAGAGGACCCACTCCTTCTATAAATAAAAATGCCTCATTCTAAGATAATGGAAAAACTATTCCTATATTCACTTAATAATTCCATTTCTGACAATAGATCCTCCTAAATTTTACACACTGGACCTTTAAGGTTTGGTAACCACAGTCCTGCTGACAGGGGCGAATGATCAGAAAATGTTCTACAGCGAATTTACAAACTTTTTGTTATTTAATTTGAAATTATTGACTTTATATATATGTGTATGCATATATATATATATTAAATATAGCAGTGGTTCAGAGACATACACGAACATTATGTGAGAGGACTACAAGCTTATTTAAAGATGATTCAGGAGAAAAATCATTGTGCAGAGTTTAAAAAGTGTGCAAAACCAAGCTCCTCACACCTCCCAGCGACAGAGAAACACCTTCAGCAGTAATAAACCAGACTTTGACAGTTTTTATTTATTTGAACAATAAAACACAACAGCAGAATCACAGATAAGAGAAAAAAGCTAAATCTGCAGGTGAGATTTAAGCGATATCACCTCAATAAGCATTATAAGCAGATTCAAACATCATGTTATCCACAAAGGTAAACAGACAGCATACAGAATCTGGAAGCAGACATAAAATATGTCAAGCAAAAACAAAATTAATACAATACTTTTTCTGGTTTAGTTGGTCATTGGGTCAAAATTTGTAACATGGCCACACAGAACACAATTCAGTCAGACAACTCACTTTTGAAATGTTTATCACAGCAATATAGCATATTTAGATTTTGGCGTCTAGACTCCGACCTCATCATTCTGTGCAGATATGTGTACATAGAGATATTGGGGAGTGATGTGCAAATACCTTAAACCCTAGCCGGAGCCTACAGGTGGATGCTGGAGCAGTGGTAAAGCTTACAGCACAGCAGGCAACAATAGCTTACAGATCAGAAGGCAGCAATACGAATGCAGGGCAACATTGACAGAGCAGACAGAGAGCTGGGAAATTGTGCAGTTTAAATAGACCGCCAGATTGGAAAGGTGCGCTTGGTTAGTGATTATGGAGTAAGGCATGTCATGTGTATTTAGCAGCACAGCTCGAGTTGACTGCCTGGGAGCGTGCCTATGTTCCCACAGCCCTATGTTCCCACAATTAGGCCCTATGTTCCCACAGTTCCCACATTTCTAAGATTTTTTCCAAAATTAGGCCTTATGTTTTCCTATTTCCTTTTTCATAAATTTGTATCAGATTTTATCCCCCTTTCTCCCAATTTGGTAGCCAATTACACCCAACCTATTCCCTAACCCTAAAGACCCAACATAGACCCCTAAAACCCTAACCCAATGTAGGAACACAAGACCTAATTTTGAAAATGCCCTAGAAATGTGGGAACATAGGGCTGTGGGACCATTGGGCTGTGGGAACATAGGGCTGACCCCGACCGACTGTCTGAACTAGTTTGCAGGCTTCGCTCCATTAATCTTCTCCATGTGTATAAGGATACAAGTTAAAGCTGCCGTTGGTCATTTAAAAAGATAATTTATTTGCATAATTGCTGAAACCTTCAATATAACCTGACAGTAGTACATGAGACAGATAATCTGTGAAGAAATCAGGTTCCTCTGGCTCCTCCTAGTGCTCCTAAACACATTTGCAAGAATCCACTGGGCCTGAAAGAAAACAACCAATCAGAGCCAAGGAAGATAGTTGATTGTTGAGTCTCATTTCCAGGGCATCAAATTTTGGACATGGGTTATGAGACTCAACAATCGACTGTCTTCTTGGCCACCAACTCAAAGTGTCTTTATACCTTTCTGGGCTCTGATTGGTTGTTTTCTAGCTGGATAAAATCAGTCTGTGGTACAGACTAGTAGGATCAGAGGTAGCCGAGAGCCATGGTGAGGGTGTTGCACCTTGGTGCAACGGCAACCACTCACTGTCTGTCTGAAGAAACCTTAAATCAGTCTCACGTCCTACTACAACGTAGGAGCATTGACAGTATAGAATTAATTCAATTCAATTTTATTTGTATAGCACCAATTCATAACAGAAGTTATCTCAGGACACTTTTCAAATAGAGCAGGTCAAGACCGTAATCCTTACAGCATTATTTACATAAAATCAACAGTTCCCACCATGAGCAAGCACTTGGTGACGGCGGCAAGGACAAAATTCCTTTTAAGAGGCAGAAACCTTGGACAGACCCCGAGAGGATGACAATGACGATGACGACAACAACGATGTGGGACAATGAGCAGTGACTATAGTAATATAGCAACTGTAGTAATAATAATAATAATAATAATAATAACAACAAAATATCAGTAATATTAGCAGTGGGAGTCAAGCAGGACCATGGCAGGAGGCTCCACCAGGATCCATGAGAACCTGCGAGACGAGAAAACACAAGAACTCCGGGAAAGAAGTGAAGTTAGTAACATGCATTAATGGAACATGAATGAGTGCAGAAAGAGAGAGAGAGGAAGAGAGGAGCTCAGTGCACCATGGGAAATCCCCCGATAGTCTAGGCCTAGAGCAGCATAACTAAGGGATGGTTTAGGACTCACCTGATCCAGCCCTAACTATAAGCTTTATCAAAGAGGAATGTCTTAAGCCTACTCTTGAATGTGGAGAGGGTGTCTGCCTCCTGAACCACAACTGGAAGCTGGTTCCACAGGAGAGGAGCTTGGTAACTGAAGGCTCTGGCTCCTGTTCTACTTTTAGAGACTATAGGAACCACAAGTAGCCCAGCATTCAGAGAACGTAGTGTTCTAGTGGGGTAATAGGGTACTATGAGCTCTTTAAGATATGAAGGGGCCTGACCATGAAGAGCTTTGTAGGTGAGGTGGAGAATTTTAAATTCTATTCTGAATTTTACAGGGAGCCAGTGCAGAGAAGCTAATACAAGAGATATATGATCTCTTTTCCTAGTTCCTGTCAGTACTCGTGCTGCAGCATTCTGAATTAATTGGAGGGTCTTAATGGAGTTATTGGGGCAGCCTGATAATAAGGAGTTGCAGTAATCCAGCCTAGAAGTAACAAATGCATGGACTAGTTTCTCTGCATTCATCTGTGAAAGAATGTGTCTGATTTTTGCAATGTTACGTAAATGAAAAAAGGCACTCCTAGAGGTTTGCTTTCTGTGGGAATTAAAGGACATCCTGATCGAAGACAACTCCAAGATTCCTGACAGTGGGCCAAGGTAATAC